GAAAGTAGTTGAGGCAGGCACAATAGCAACATTTGGATACATACATGGATGGGAATGGTTTACAGGGCTATGGACTAAATGCAGGCAATTGGAACTAGGTGAGTGGACATCATGGTCAGCATGGACCAGTTTGGGACGAAGGGGCCTGTTTCCATGCTGTATTTCTGACTACTCTTGAAAAATTAATTCATTGGATCAGAATACTGGCAAGTCCAGCATTGATTTCCTTTTCCCCTAGGAAATTTGAGAAGACAGAGATTTTCAGTAATGGGTTGCAAAACAGAGTTGAAGCAAGATGAGATCAGCCATGGTCGTGTCAAATGCAGAGAAGGCTCAAGAGGCTGGATTACCTACACCTGCTCCTAGCTCTTATGTTTTTTCTTAAATATTCCTGAGATGGTGGGGAGCCATCTTGAAATGCTGTAGTCCATGGTAAAGGTGCTCTCATACTGCTTGTTTGGGAGGGTATTTTATTACTGACACTACAATGAAGGAACAATAGTTCAGTCCGAAGATGTGCCGCTTAGGTGGATTGCTATGCTAAATTGCCCCAAAATGTCCAGAGATGTGCCAGCTGGGTGGATTGGCCAGGTTAAATGCAGGGTTACAGGGATAAGGTGGGAGGGATCTTGGTGGGGTGCTCTTTGGAGTGTCGGTACATATTTGATGTGCTGAATGGCTCTACCTGTACTGTAGGGTTTCTATGATTATTTTCCAGTCAGAATGTTGCGTGACTTGAGGAGGCACCTTGCACATGGTTTTATGCCCATGCATCTGCGATCTTTATCCTGCTAGTGGTGAAGGCCACAGGTTTGGGAGACGCTGTTGAGATACCCTGGTGAATCATTACAGTGCATCAGACGGTACACACGACAGACAGGGTGCACCAGTGGTGTCGTGAGTGAATCTTTAAGATGGATAGAATTCCAATCAATTTCTGGATGATGTTGAACTTCGAGTGTTGTTGGAACAGAGGAGAATATTTTCCTGACTTGTACCTTGTAGACATTGGAATGGTTTGGAAAGGCAGATGGATCACTTACTTGTAGTGGTAAACTCTAGATGCAGCCATAACATTGTTACAATGCCATTTGTCCCAATCTTTCACTTTCTCTGTTCCCAACAACCACGGTGATACAGCTAAACCAATTTATCATTTTACAATACTAATTCTTGTTCTGCAGAGTATTCAAAAGCTGTTACTTTAACTGATTCAATTAGCTTTGTCAGATTTTATTTTCGTATTTATGAACATTGCACTTACTGCAGCCACACTATCTCGTCCAGTGGCTGGGTTATTTATCAAGTGAACTCCTTTATCATGGTTAACATTGAGCTTCAAGCATTGCTCTTGACAGATTCACCAGGGTGAGTGTTCAATTACAATTCTGATTTGGGCCTTTTAGGTGGGATTGAAACTCTGAGGGATCAAGTATGTCAATCAGACAAAAGACTTCTTAGCGGTAACTTGTCAAAATCCCTTTGAAAGTCTACTTTCAATGTCCTATATACTGCTGTCATGGCGAGCTCTTCAAAAATTCAAATAATATGCAAAAACATAGCTTTGAAACCATGTTGAAATGTCCTGCTCTGTCAAAGGAGTCATAAATGCCATCCATTATTATTTCCTTAAGTGGCTCCTCCAATACTGATTTCAATCTAATCAGTCTGTACGTTACCTGATCAGTTAAATATTTTAAAAACTAAATATTCCTGTGCATTAATCTCCTTCCAGTTTAAGGGAAACATACAGTTAAGGGGCTCACAGGACAACAGCCCCATCCTAGAATTACAGAATAGAATCCCTACAGCGTGGAAACAAGCCATTCTGCCCATCGAGTCCACACCAACGCTCCGAAAAGCATTCCACCTAGACCCAGCCCCTGGGTGGGACCCTGTGCTGCCCCAGGACACTCCAGTAGATATTATCCAGAGCAGCTGTGCTGTTGATTTTAAGGCTAATTTTAAAAATTTATTCATTGAAAGTGGACTTTGTTAAGTGGGTCAGCATTTATTGATTCTCTTTCTTACCCTTGAGAAGGTGGTGAGCTGACATTTTGAACTACCGCAGTGTATTTGGTGCAGATACACCCACAAAGCTGTTAGGAAGAAAGTTCCTGAATAATGACACTTATGAAGTCATATTTTAACAAAGCAACACTCAGGTTCTCCAGTCAAATTCACATTAAGATATTCAGCCGATATTGGTTGTGTTTGGAGGATATCGCAGGATAGAAAATAAAACGGAGGGGTGAGGAATAATCACCATGAACAACACTATTTGCTATCATACAAATCAACCAAGCACAGCTCTGACCTTAGTAATTCCAAACCTACTTGTATTTGACAGTGCAGAAAACACTACAGAGGATATGAGAAACAAAGCTCAAGTACTGACCTCATAACCTAAAATAAGGACTATAGCATCAAAGATAAGTTGAAAGCACTTCAACCAATATGCCAAGTTTGCAGTGCATAGATAATTGCCAGCAGTTTATCAAATAGCAGGAGAAACATGGGCATAAAGCATTGGTGCTTCAATCGAACTATTTGAATTCAAGCCAGAAACAAACCTAGCACATTACCACGATGGTCCAAGAGGATTCCTTACGAGCTTCAGCTTCCACTTACATTACTGCCTTAGACAGCCCTGAAACATGTTTGAGCCAAAAGGGTCTTGACCCGAGGTGTCAGCTTTCCTGCTGAGCCTGCTGTGTTCATCCAGCTCGACAGCGTGTTGTCTCAGATTCTCCAGCATCGGCAGTTCCTACTATCTCTGACCCAAACATTGTTTTGAATAGAACCTGTACCTGCACATTAGACTATGATCCATGACACAAGATCACATCTGAAATATTACTCCACATAATGCACACATTTGTCAATATATTACTTGATATGTAGCTGTTTTTAGATGAGCAGTGGAATCAGCACATTTAGATGCCCAATTAAAATATCCAACCAAAATATCCTATGATTTCAGTTTGTAGGAAAAAAATAGAATTCGTATCTGTAAAGGGTTACAAACAGACTTGACTCTAGATATAGGGAAGATAGGAGGACAAATTGCAGCTGCCATGACAAAAGACATTGCATTTATATACCAACTTATCACAATTCTCGGAAATGCCCAAATTACTGCAGCAAAAACACAGCAGAAGAGAAGTTTGAGCCTATCATCTCTTCGATCAAGAGATGAATTTGCACAAAATGTGTAATGCAAACATTTTGCAACATCAAAGAAGCAAACCAATTTAGACCACAGACCATAAGATATAGGAGTAGAATTAGGCCATTCAGCCTATTGAGTTTGCTCTGCCATTCAATCGTGGCCAATATGTTTCTAACCCCATTCTGCTGCCTTCTCCCCATAACCTTAATCGTCTAATTAATCAAGACGATATGGATGTCTGTCTTAAATACACTCAATGACCTGGCCTCTGCAGCCTTCTGCAGCAATGAGTTGCACAGATTCACCACCACCTGGTTGAAGAAATTACTCATTCAGTTTGAAAGGGTCGTCCCTTCACTCAGATTGTTCCCTTGGGTTCTGGTGTCTCCAACAAGTGGAAACATCTTTTCCACTTCCACTCTATCCGGGTTTCTCAGTATTCTGTAAGTTTCAATGAGATACACCTCATCCTTCTCAACTCCATGAAGTACAGACCCAGAGTCCTGAACTGTTCCTCACGTGACAAGCCCTTCATTCCTGGGATCACTCTTGTGAATCTCCTCTGAACTTCTCCAAGTTCGGCACATCCTCCTCAGATACAGAGCCCAAAACTGCTCAATATTCCAAATGCAGTCTGGCCAGAGCCTTACACAGCCTCACTAGTACATCCCTGCTGCTGTTTTCTAGCCCTCTCAAAATGCATGCTAACATTGCATTTACCCTCCCAGCGTAATTCTACTGTTTACTGGTATTGCTACTAACTGCTAGCACTGGAACAGCATTATACTAAATCCAATCCTTAGAACAGTGCTTTGGGACTAATTGTCTTCCAGTGATTCACCAATAAACTTTCTTTCAAAAATAACGTCAAAGGGGAATTTTTTTTTGATCAGCGGAACAGAACACTGCGCAGTTATAATTCCTTAGATAATCAAACAGTTTGCGCTGACAGCAAGATCCAGACTTAGTCCAACTAAAGAAAGCTACATTTACCTTACTTTTTACATACAATTAGGAGTAAGACTTGGCCATTCAACACCTCAAGCCTGTTCCACCACTTAATAAGATCACAGCTGATTTGTGCGCTTTTTAAATTCCATATTCTCAGTAGGCAGTTAGTGATGCAGTATGAAACAGAGTGGGTTCAATTCCTGCATCAGTTGAGGTCATTATGAAGAATGCTCCGTCTCAACCTCTCCCTGTGCCAAGTGACCTTCAGGTTAAACTACCACCAGTCATCTCTGGACAAAGCAGCTAGCTTGATCAGCACCCCATCCACCACAAATATTCATTCTGTCCACGAACAACATCATATTCGAAATGACCTGCAGCAATTTGCCAAGCTTGCCTTTGACAGCAGCTTTCAAATCCATCATCTCTATCAAAGATGAAGGGTAGCAAATTCACGGGCACCGTCTTCAATTCTCCTCCAGGTGCACACCATCCTAATTTGGAACTACATTACTGTTCCTTCATTGGGTCAAAAACCTGTAATTCTCTTCCTAATAGCACTGTGTATACCTACACATGGAATGCAGTGATTCGAGGAGGAAGCTCAAAACCACTTTCTCAAGAGGCATTAACCAGCAACACCCATACCCCACAAGAGAATAAAAAATACAAATAAATATTATGTATATTAGTGAAGAAAAAATATAGCTTTGTGGGCATACTTCCATTACACAGATTGCAGTAGCTCAAGTTGCACTGAGAAGGCAGCTAAGTTAACATAAATATATCAACAGCAAACATACCAGCCCCACCCCTCCTTCTGTTTCCAGAAACGCAGTGAAGTTTGAAAAATACAATTAATTAGAATACACAATACCTGGTAAAAAAGTTGGCTAGTGTGCCTAGTCTTTTATATTTGGTCTCTTGTTCCAAAGGACTGTCAGCTTGATTGTAGCTGTCTCTGGAAGAATTTAAACTGATGTCAGTGAACTGTGCCTCATCAGTTTCCAGATTTACAATTGCACTGGAGTCACTGGTAACCAAACTATCTAGAATATCCTCATTGCTAACAGACAGAGTTGTGGACAGTTCCGTGCTCAAGCTTGAAATACTGCTTACAGATATCTCATCAGCCTTGTTTGCTCCTCTGCTTGATGGACTGTAAAGCTTCACATTATCATAACCAGATCGAGGAAATGTTGAAGATTTTCGCAATGCACTGTCAGTCTCAAGACGTACAGCCGGTGAACACATGCCAGGTGGGAGACTACCTGAACCTTGTCCAAGTTTATCAGGCGCCAATCCAGTTGTCTGGGATGAATCAGCATGGTTTGTTCTAACATTCAATACACCACAATGGATGGGCTCTGGATTTCCAATTTCTAGTGTGGGAATGCCAGAGTCTTCAGAATTAAGGCTATTACTGTCTTCATACCTAGAGCAGTGCAAATTGTGCTTGTATTTTGGTACAGATAAAGACCACATTGCCTTTACGTCAAAGTTTTGAAAATTCACAATTTCACAATTGTCGACACACTGTCCAGCAGGGGTCATGAAGTCTGTGCAAATTCTTCCTTCCAGTATCCTAGGTGGGTTTCTACACGTTCCTAGAAAAAGAAATCATATTTTGAATTATAAAGAGAATCACGTGAAAAAAAGTCAAAAGGATTAAAGGCAATGCTAAAATGTACACAATTAACAGCTCTGGTAATCGTCTAAGGGCTGCAAAAACAGCTTTTCATAGCAAATTAAAAATAGTTATTGCAATGCTGCTGCTTTTCTTTTGTACTGCTAAACTGCAAAAACGTTTGGCATACTTCCCTTCAGAGAATATATAGCTTGAACAATGTTAATATAAACATCAAAACAACAGATTCACTGCAGATCAGCAAGGAATTCCTAGTATTTTTGACAGGTATTAAAATGGAGAAAGAAACGGCATTTAATTTGAAATAAGCTGGGCAAGACTTTATGATAGCACAATATGCCAGTTCTTGTAAATCCAATCCAGATTAATGGCAAAAAGCACCTTGCATAATCACAATTACAGATGAAGCCTACTGGAAATCTGAATACAATGCGTAAAAGATGTAGTCCAAGTGTAAAATTGTCAGAATTTAAATGGATTTGAAGAAGCACCAGTGGAGAAAGCAAAAATGTCCACAGTAGTATTGTAAAGAATAGAAAATGAGGAAACTTTGCATCAGGCCAAGAACACCAAAGGTTGAAAAGTGCTCCATTTGCCCAGCAATATTCTTGAAGAGTGTGATAGTATACTTTTAGTTCACTTTCTCAAAAAACCCCATTTTAAACAGATAGTTGACAGAAACATGATTTTTGCTCAGGCTCGTTGTAAAGTTAACACCGATACAAACTCCTGTTCATCAATGTCAACTCAACTACTGAAATTTTCAAACACTTCAAAATGTTACAAAACGAAGAAATTTTTTTTTTTAAAAATAGATTCTACTACATTATTCCCTTACCCTATAAAGTGGATCACAATTGCCAACTCCATCCTCCATTATCTTATCTGTCAATGAGGAAGTTAATCTTGTGACCAACATTTCCCATCCGTCCCAACAAGAACTGGACTTCAACGACAAGCAGCAATACTGGATCCAAGTTTCAAATATCCACTTTGCACCAGTCTACCCTGACCCTGTCCTTAGATGTTATATACTCAAATTTAGACCCTTTTTTTTGTAAATGAAGTGGATGCAGATATAATCTCAGACAGAGGATTGGGAAATGCTGCCGAGCCAGCGACGCCCTCATCCTGTGAATGAATAAAGAATAAGGAAGGTCACACACTGAAGTCTAATTTTTAAAGATAGAGTTCTCTGGGATTGAAGGGCGAAACTGGGGTGGATACGAAAACGGTTGCAGTTTTGTTGACTCACGAATCTAATGGGGGATATTTTCTTTTGTGATGAACAATATAACTAGAACCACCAATACATGACGGCACCAAGAAATTGAAATCTAACTAAGGAACTTGCTACCACAATGGTAAATATGCATTTAAGGGGAAAGCTATCAAGCATTTGAGGGAGAAAGGAAAAGAGGGATACAATTGTAGATTTAGATAATAAAAGATGCAAGGACGTTCGACTGACACGGACAGTTGAGCTAAACATTTTCTGCACCACATTTTCCGTGTCATCCGGATGCAAATTTTAAGCACAGAACCACAGAAGGAAGCTGCTTGAATTTGACATTAGCCATCTCTGAAAGAACTACAAATCCGTCCCACTCCCGAGCAATTTCCTCGAAGCCTCCAAATATTTATTTTTCAAATATAGTAGATAAGATTATTTTTGCAAAGTCACATTGAAACTACTTCCAGCACCCTTTCAGGCAAAGAATCTGGATTATAACTGGCTGCATTAAAAAGAAAAAATTCCAGTTTTCCATATCCCCTTCAAACCCTGGCTACAGTGCCAATTATCTAAAAACCATATCCTCAGATTAATGATCCCGCTTGCAGTACAAACAGTTTTGGCCCAAGAACTCTGTCTAAACACCTCAACTTCAAGCATTGCTATTAAATCAGAGATAATAGGAACTGCAGATGCTGGAGAATCCGAGACAACAAGGTGCAGGGCTGGATGAACACAG